TTTACATTTTTAACACTCTGTTAGCTTAGATAATTTAGAAGTTTCATCTGGTCTTGTTGAGATATATAGTTGAGTATCATCAGCATAACAGTGGAAACTAATCCCGTATTTTCTAATAATATTACCAAGGGGCAACATGTATCTTGAAAATAGCAGAGGACCTAGGACAGATCCGTGTGGCCCTGCATATTTTACTGGTGATAATTGAGATGACTCCCCATTTAAATGACAAAGTGGTAGCGATCGGACAGGTAGGATGACAGGTAGGATCTAAACCATCTTAAAGCCTGCTATCTGCTATCAAGAGTTGCATCTGTCTAGGTCATCGTAAAAATGTCTAGTAAATCTAGTTATTGTAAACAATTGAGCAGAAATCTGTCTAGGCAGAGCTTGTAAACGTTCAGTCACTTTGACTTGACCTGCGGCTCATTTCCTGTGCCTGTTTGAAGGGTCACAGGATGTCAAACCCCGCAGGTGAGAATATTAACACAATGACAGTTTCCATTACTTCATTCAGAATGTGACAAGTGTGACCTGCTGGAGAATCTCTACTCTTTATTACCTCACCAGGTCTCTTATTCGTTTCAGAAAGTTAGAAGCTGTTCAGTCTCAGTAAACAATAGCTTGAATGTACTGTATGTAGTCAGACTTCTGCACATGTATTGTTATTAGGGGCCAAGCCCCGAAGGGGCTGTAGCCCCTGTTGTATCTGTACTGATTCTTCTTCTTCTTCTTGTCCAATGGGAGTCTATGGCAGCCCTATGAACGGAATATAGGAAAATTATGAAAATTGGCACACTTGTATTGATGGCCATGAATAGTGATCTGACCAACTTTGGAGTCTCTAGGACCAATTCTATAGTGCCACCACCAGTTCAAACATTTAACACTGAAATGGTAATAACTCTTGAACCCCTAATTCTAGAAAAATGAAACATAGTACACCTGATTACTCTCCTCATGTTGATCACATTGAATTTCTTACATTAATTCTGCACCCATTACAGTAACGGCCATTTTGAAAAGTACAGTTTTAAATTTTTTCGATATTCCTTCACAGAATGACTGAACAGAATTTTTTGACCTACTGGTCAAAAAAAAACTTATGATGCTGTGAACTTAACCGAGGTTGACCCGAAATTGGTTCAGAGGCTGTATCTCGGCCAAACTTTGATCAATCAAAATGAAACTTGATACACTTCATCAACAGGATGGTATTAGGCTACATGCCTATTGGGATGGGAACAGCACCACTTATGGATCATGAGATATGAAAAATTGCTATTTTGGCTTATAACTTTTGAACAGTTAATCAGAAAATTGGTGTGATCTTGGTGTCTATGGATTCCTCGGGTCATGCGGAATTTGGGGATATCAATTTTGCCAGGTTTGGCAAACCATGTAAACCATGTGTCCGCCATTTTGAAATTTAGCATAAATTGCAATATCTTTTGAACCATTTGACATATCTGCACAAAAATCGGTAGGGATCATCAACACCATGTTCTGGAGATACCTCAGATACCATGTTCCAGAGATATAACAATTCTTGCAAAAACACATAACTTTTGAAAATTTTGTTATTGTCATTCCTTGGGTTATATCGATTCTGGCGGAATCTCACTTGTCATTTTCCATCAGTGTGTCTGTCCGCAATATTGAAGTAAATGAAAAACAGTTTTTTTCGCTACTCCTTCTAGAAAGTTTGATCATGTGATCTTTGGACCGAGCCGCACAGAAATGATTTTTGATATTCACTTCCATTCCTAAGAAATATCTCTTGGAAGTTGACCGTCCCTGAGTTTGTTTGAATTGATTCTCAATTAAACTTCTGAACGTCAGCATCTGTGTGAACATCCATCTCCTGGTGATTGTGGGTGCCGTGTAGTGCAACATTATAACATTTTGTGTAATCTTGTGCTGTTTTGATTCATTTGTTATCCATATCAGCATTGTACAAACCTTTATTTATCCTGAATTAGAAATAAGTTATTTTATCCGTGCTGTTTTAATTTTCATTTGAACTTCTGTATATTCTAAGTTCATTCTCACCAATAATTCTGAACCGGCTGTTTTTCACATTCATTCAATTTCTGCTGTTTTTGATTTTTGATCTTCCTGCTCTGCACTGCACTACAGCCCCTTTAGGGGCTTGGCCCCGTATCGCTGCTTGCAGCTATATTTATTATTATTATTATTATTATTATCATTATTATTATTCTTTGAGAGCACCTACTATAAAAAGTATTCTGTAAATTAGGTTTGTTTTATTTTATGTATATATATATATATATATATATATATATATATTTATATATATATATATACATATATTTGTTTATTTATTTATTTATTGTTACATTACAGTATATAATTAGTTAAATAAATAACTAAACTGTATCTAACATGAAAAGATTGAAACTTGATTTAAGCCACCACTGTCATCAATACAAAATATGAGTAAAAAAAACATTATTATTTATATTATTATATGGGCTGTATAAAGGGAAAAAATTATGTTAGCCTTTTTTTTTTATAAAACAATAATATCACCAATAATATAAAAAATATAATTCAATATCAAAATATATAATATGACAATAAAATATGTGAGATATATAATTAGAAATTTTATAAATGATCTGCAAAATTTAATTTATATTATGAAGTGTTTTTATAATAATTTAATCACAAAATGATTTATACTTTAAAAAATATATGTAATTGCAATCTCATCCTAATAAGACATTATAACGTAGTATTATAATATATACAATATATTATAAATGATATACATTCTAAAAATTAGATAACATTACTCTTAAGAACTGACAGTATAATATCAACGCTGATAGAGAGACTGTCTTCCTGTCCTCACTTGCTCATTCAAGAAGAAACACTCTTTAACTGACCTGCTCTTAAAACATGTTATTTGCCAAGTCGTTTGATAAAAGAAAGATGAATGAAGAAACTCGGCACAATGAATGCAGAACTGTACTGGGTTGGAAACATTATTCAGACTGTTAATCCAGCACTTTTATACAGAAGTAAAACTTCATTGTGTTCTACTAGTGAATGCAGAGGTAATATGAGGGACATAAAGGCAGATCTTTCATATTTCAGAGGTGAGTCATGTGACTAGGAATGGGTGAATGTCACAAAAATTTAATCATGAAATCATGAAATGTTTCACCTTTTCGACACTGACCTCATGTGCACGTCATGGACAGTGAGCAGTGTTTGGCCTTAGTAACTGGTTGTGTTGGTCTTTTACAGCTGGTTATGTGTTTGGACAAGTTTTGGATGAACAGCTTTGGCCTTGCTTTTTATGCAGCTTTTCAGTTTCAAGTATGACTTAAGAAGCTTTCTAAAGATCACTGTCAATTATTTATTTTCAATGCACTCCTAAGAATAAAAGGTCTTCACGGTTTCTTTAAACTGGGTAATTTCCACTATAGTTGAGTTGTTTTATGGATCTTCTTTAGAGATTAAAAAAGAATGATGTTTTATTTTCAACTTCTTAACATCAATGTTTTGGTTTCTGTATATAATTTTTATTTTATTATTCTTTTTTTTTCAAACTGTGAAACCCTATTTGGTCATAATTTGAACATTTTGAAGGGTATTAGGAGCTGTCGCTTCATAAACATAATTTCCATCATAAGAATAAATATGCTACCTTTCAGCTTCTATTACTACAAATGATCATACATGGTACATGCATTTGGCAGATGCTTTTATCCAAAGAGACATACATTGCATTCAAGGTACCCATTTACCTTTAATAAGTTCTTGTTTTTACTGGGAATCAAACCCATGACCTTGTGGTTGCTGGCACCATGCTGTACTGTTTGCGCTACAGTAAAGCTATTAAATAAATATAGATCAAATAGTGTATAAGTAAATAAATATAGATAGTTTATTTTAATACAATAAGTTCTAGCAGGTAAATACTGCCCTCTAACAGCTGGTAAGTGTAGGAGCTAGGATTTTACTGATGGTCTTCATCTTTACTCGTATTCAAGATGAAATTAGACTCTATTAAATATATTGAGAAAATACAATCCCTTCTTTGTTTGAGTGTAATGCAATTAAATCAACTATAAAACCAATGAAATAGTCACTTATCAGCACATCCTGTTGAATCATTTTATGAAGCAGAAAGGAGTACTGAATTTCCAGTTAATTTGCTAATTTAATTTTATTAGTCATTTTCTCCTCAGCTTTAGTCCTTACCTTATTCGCCTTATTCACATGAAATTGTAAGGTCAAAAATTATCAAAGATTTCTGCTTTCCTGTCCCAAACCTATCTTCAGTAACAAAAGGGCCATTTGGAATTCCTGAAGGCACAGAGGTGCTGATAGTGATCAATGCCTGTAGGCCAACATGTGTATACATCGGGGGTCTGCTAATTGTCACACCTTTTGCCCAGTGGGTGAAGTTATAATCTGCTGATTGGTCAGTTTGAATGTCTCACATTTGGTTTTTAGTCACATGGTCAAGGAAGGGATAAAAGAGGACTGTAACTGTTGCTCTGTCTCTTTTCTTGGCTGTCTCTCTTCTTGGGTCTCTGCCCTCTCTCCCTCTTTTTCTTCCTCTCTCTATCTCTTTCTCTCAGGTAATATTTTACATGTTGGGTACAATTAACTATGCTTTACCATCCTTCATCTATTTTGTAACCAATTCAAGTGTAACCATAACAAAATATTGTTATTAAACCATTTCAATTATTAATTATGTGCTAACTAGTCTTGATTCAAGGTTCATCTTAAAGTGTTACCTATTGCAATACAATAGTCACACAATAGCAACGCTCTCCCACATATGTAGCTATTCTAACTGCGCTTATTTCCGTCGTTGGTATAAGTGGCAGTGGGTGGTAATAGACTAGAAATGTACAGTTTTATACCATCGTGCTGATAACGTTTCTTTAGTCATTCGGCAATCCTACAGCCTGAACCACCGTAGGAAAACCATCCTTACAAAATGATAAATCATGATATCTGCAAATTACGCAATTTATTTACAGTACAATGTTGATGACACTTTTCACGTGAAGCTCAACCCTTTCTGGCAATTTCATCACAGGGCTTTTAATTTGACGTATTTATTGAACACACTGACAAATCACTTGATATTTTATAAATATGTATCCATTACTGTTTCTTAGTTTATTTCAGATGTATTTGAAGCTTTCGAAGCACATTAACAAAATGAGGGATGCATTTTTAATCTTTGTAGTTTGGCCCCAAAAAAAGTCACGTGTAAAAGTAAAAAAAAAGATGTGTAGTAGTAAAGTAAATATGGTGTATTTTGACTTCCTGTCAACTTTAGCTTCTCTTATACACACTCGCATGTTTGCAGATGTTGATTGCGTTCACTCGTTTACTGTGCTGCATCAAACATTTTCTTCCTTCCTTCCATTCCAGACATGGCCTCCACGTTCTTCCTCCAGTCACTGACCTCCACTGTCTTTTCCTACAAAGAGACACACAAATGCAGAACAGAATGATGCCGTAATACTGTACTCTTAACTCTTTCATTTCTGCCACGATGGACGCCATTGACCCCCAGCCCACCTTCTCTGTGTCTTCCTTCTTGACGGACTTGAGGTTTGCTCTCAGGTCCATGGACACCTTGTGTTTGGAGCCCAGCAGAGAGCGCAGGATGGCGTCAGCGGAGACTCGGACTCTCCTCAGGGTGGGTCGCTTGAATTTGCCTCTCAGGTCCAGGACTTTGATGTTCAGGTCCTTGATCTGCAGCAGGTTTGTTTAAAAGTTTCATCATTCACTAGTTATTATTGAGCAATTTGGTTCCTGTATGAATATGATGTAATCTTCTTACACAATACCACAGTTCTACCTGATTAACATTACAGCATTATTTTGGAATAATGCAAGAGCATAAACAGGTGCGACGCAATAAAAGCAATTCCCTCCATGTTTTCTTTTTTTTTTAGCCAGCAAAGGCATTTTGCATTGCTTCATATGTATTCTTTTTTTTTCTTCAGTTTTTCATAAATTGTTCTGTTGTTGTTTATTTTCATATTTTTAAATTAAATCATTTTTTGTTGGGATTAATCTTGGAATGTTGAAATTTTAATTCTACAGAGAAAATGAATGGGAAAAATGCTTCCACAACCGAGGTTGAATAAGGAGGCACTCATTGTTGTGCTCTGTGAAATATTAAATCGGTTCTGATTTAGTAAATATGTTGGATAGTGTTTTCAGTTTTAATATGTATTGACAAATTAATACTGGAAACTTGTTATTTCATGTCTGGTTCAGGAAGTTGCTGTGATTGTGAATGGCCAAAAAGACAATTCATTTTCCTACAGACGTGGTGTGTTGTTAAGCTAAGCTGTTTCTTTACTTCTCTTGTGTTGTGAAGCACTTTAGCCTCGATATCGTAGCGCTCCTCGTCCACCACGTCGATTTTAACGTGTAGTTCCCGACACAGCTCCTGATAGAGAGAGCAAATATAGTGTTTACATGCCAGCAGCTGTTTCTGCTGATGGTGAAAGAAGTTTTTCTAAAAGTATGATTTTATATATACAGAACCAATATTATTGTTTGTTTACAATATTCATGGTTCTTAAATAGCACTTTTGGGATACTATAGTTTCCAAAAACATGGTTTCCCATGTTATAATTTTTGGTAATACCATGGTACTTTTTGTAAGGAATTTATTTATATTAAAGGGGTCATATGATGTTGCTAAAAAGAACATTATTTTGTGTATTTGGTGTAATGAAATGTGTTTATGCAGTTTAAAGTAAAAAAAACACATTATTTTCCACATACTGTACATTATTGTTTCCCCTCTATGCCCAACCTTTTTGAAACGCGTCGATTTTAACAAAGCTCATTGGTCTGAAAAAGCGAGGTGTGCTGTGATTGGCCAGCTATTCAATGTGTTGTGATTGGCCGAATACCTCAAGCGTGTGACGGAAATGTTACGCACCTTACCATACTGTGATGCCCTGTCCGGCCGGAGCGACGAGACATAAACATTAAAACCCATTACAAATGAGGCATTTGTTGCATCCAGTGGGGACATAATTACTGATTATAATGACTTACACTGTCTTTTTACGCGTTGCGTTGCATTGCATAGTGCCGCGTGCGCAGCGTAAACATAAAACTCTGTCTGTATTTGTGATCGGAGAAATGACAAACAACAAGTGCTACTCTACACTGCCCAAAACTCGCGTTTGAAACATCAGTGGCAACGAAAAACACAGCGGCTAGCGTGAGGGGAAGCCCCGGCTTAGCGAGCGCTGAGGCCAGGATAGAGTGAGCTGAGGCGGGCTGGATTCCGCTTCGTCCATGGTGAAAGTTGATGTATTCCCTCAGCGACCAGCACAGGTCAGCTCTAAGCATGACGAAGCGGATATCGTCCTCTTTTGGAAGACCAAACAAAGTAGTTTCACTTTCACAACGAAGCACACAGCGTCTTCAGGATATGGCTGCAGCGTCAACAATACTACAGCGAGAATAAAAGTTACGCCTTCTTTCTTTGCGTGAACATTTGGGAGGTGTTATGCAAATCTTCCCACATAGTGACGTAGGTATGTGGGGGCGTGTTAGAACGAGTTGTTTTAGGTAGGTGTGGTTAACTCTTAACTTTTATAAAGAATATCTCTTTGGTTTTGAGACTTTAGTGTTTGCAACTTTACAGATCTTCTTTATGCACCAAGAGCTCGTAACACTCCAAAGAGAAAGGAAAAATTGAAATTGCATCATATGACCCCTTTAATATCAGTAGTATGAGAGTGTTTTGTGTTGTGGATGATGTACCTGAAGCTCGGTGGAAGACATGCCACTCGTCTGTAGCAGAGGAGCTTTCTCAGCCAGATATCTCTCCTTCTCTGCCTCTTTATCTACTAGCTCCTGCTCTAACTCATCCTTTGCTTTAGCTACCATAAGACTCTGATGAACACACAGACATGCACACTTTAACATCTAATATATGCTAGGAGCAAAAGCTTTTGAATGCACTTTCTTAATTTGTGATGCTTGCTAAATATTGCTTTATTGCATTTTTTGAGCAACCCTCCCAAAACACTCTACAAATGTGTCATTTTGTACAGGAAACACTACCCATGTTGTTTTAAGAAAATGATTACAGTTTTTGCAGTGCAGTTGTACCTTGAGCATCAGCTTGCGAGATGCAGAGATCTTGGACTTTTTCTATCAAATTTCAAATAAGCATTGGTTATATAGAGCAGACATTATTTATGATGTCATATACTATCATTCTCACATCAAAATATTATTTGTTATGGTTACAGAAGATTAGTTTGCTGGTAGATCAGAAAAAAAGTATTGAAAAAGTGGCATTCAGTGATGGCTTGTCACTCTCACCTCTTGCCTGCAAAAGTATAAAAACACACAATTAGATCATAAAATATGATTCTTATTAATAACAAAGCTTTTAGTTTGATGTCCAAAAGTCTAAGACCGCAAAGAGAAAATGCTTTTATTTAGCATTCCTCAAATTAATAAATGTTTTAATAATATTATAGTGATTTTTATAATAAAGTAATTGGAGTGAAAAGAATACATTGATACACTGTAAATTATTTTTCAAAGTTACAAATAAATCAAAGATTATTGGAGTGTTTTACAAGAAAGTAATAATACAATTAATAATGAAAATGTAATTATTTGTCTAATTTAAGTATGTTTTACCATTGCAGTCTTTCTACTTAAAAATGTCATGTTAAATTCAATCTGACTGCATTTCTTTATTTTCTTTATATTATTTGTTAAATTTACTAGCAGTTTCTGAGTGAAAATTGGAAATCCTACACAATTGTTTTTTTTTTAGTTACTTAAGGTGATATGAACAAAACCTGATTGTCCAAGATATTTGGCATAAATTGAGAATCAAGAAGCAAAACAAGTTATTTAATTAATTAATTATTTATTTGATTATTAATAAGTGACCCAGAAATAGCGTAGAATCTTTTTTTTAAATCATTTTCTTTCTCAGAGTTTCAGTGTGGTCTCAGATTTTTGGGCTCCATTGTATTCACAGACTCCTAATCAGCCTTCATTAATTCTGAGGCCTTGAGTAAAGACAACACAGCCGGTAAATCCAAGAATAGAGCACATTTGTCGGGAGAGCCGTAAGACGTCTAAGATGACGAACAACAGAAAGCAGAGACACAATATACTCACTCGGGCATCTTTACAATGGCGATTCAACCTAGGAGATAAAAATAAAGGCGTTTGTTTCCAAAAGGCAGGACCACTGGGAGGATCTTCAAGGGGCTCAAGTATCAGACAGCTTTTCCAGATTCAGACGTGCTAATCAGATGTCATTATACCCCTGTAAACTCTAATAGCAGCAGCCTCACGTATTCGACTCTTGAAATCATTGCGGTAATGATATGTCGACCATTCAGATGTTGCTTTTTAAAATAAATGGACTGCTGCTAATTGATTGATTTGGCGTTTGTTCTGCATCTGTTAACCACTTCAAAGTCCTGACAGTGGCCGTGCACACAGATGAAGTGGACCCATTGGGAAAAAGGTGTTGGCAGACGCCTATCATGGCGCAGTGATTTTGGCATGGTAATTATGCCGCACAGATAACAATCCCAGCTTTCTCCAGCCCATATCCACTTGCAATGCACCATAAATAGACCCGCACCAGAGCTTCAGAGGCTTTAACCCAGCCCAAGTTTCCGCTCGATGATGTTCAACCGGTCTAGAGCACTTACAAAAACAAATACGGTAAATTACGCAATAAAATGAAAGAGCATATCATCATAAATCTGGAACTGGATAGGTTTATTTAACCGAATGCCGAAGGTGGTTTCCAAAGTAATGTTTTTATGATGCTTTGGGTTTCTGCAAATTAAATTGAGGTTTTATGCAGCTCAGTACTGGAAGGCCAAAAGTAAATGTTTGAATCAGCTTGATAAAGGGATTATTTTTTAATTAAATGATCTGAGAGATAAAATCAAAGTGATTTGGGAGACGGAGAAAGATTATAAATCATAAAGCACTTTTGTAAATAAAATACATCAAATGAAAGGAAAGAGTAATATTCACCACATGTATTGACATCAATATGGGTTTTTCCAATGACACTGATTTGATGACAGTAATATTAAATATTTACACATTTGGCCATATTAACAGATATTGAGAAGGAAACGTCCATGCAGTATTCAGATTTTTTTATTTTTTATTATTTGGTTTATTCTTCTTAGAAATGAAGAAGAATGCAATGCAGGCTAACTTTCCTTAACACGGAAGCAAACTGAATGAACTTACCTTGCGGTGCTCAGATGGGCAGAGAAGTGATGCTCTAGAACAATGCCTCTCTTTTTTTAAGACACCCTCTTATTGTTCATCCTCGGCCTGTTACTGGATGATATTATTAGCGTGCACACACACACATAAAGCTTTTATCCAGCACTTGTGGAGGGCTGTTATTGATAGGCCTTGTGCGGCACTTAGACAGCTGTGGACTGTGGTTCCTCATTATGCTTCGGGCCTGTCTCACAACCTAATTTAGCTTACTAGAAGATAAAACTGTTTCATTTAAAGAGATTTCCATTGATATTTTTAACATGTCCACAATGAGGTATCTTAATATCTCTACTGTTTCTCCGAGACAGCATTGAGAGCAGGTCTTCTCCTGAGAAAAAGCCTCTAGTAACCCATGGTTTTTGGAAGAGATCTCAATAAAGTCTTCTTTGGTTTTATCTGTCTGTTGATCAGTAACAATTTGCTTTACTGGAAGAAGGAAAAACTTTTCTTTTTGAATTCATAAGATCATTTAAAGCACATTAAGTTTCTCAGACGTTACACTTTAGAAAAAGCCTCTGCACTGTACAAATAATTTGTTAATAAAAAAAGGTTATTGGACTGTGTTTTACAATAAAATACTATTTCAGTAATTCTACGTTAAAAATGTCATGTTTTACTTCAGCGTGCTATTTATTTATTATTTGTGAAATTAAAATTATTAGCAAGTGAAAATTATTACAAAGTAAATTCGACACAATTTTCACTCAGAAATTAGTACATTTCATAAATAATTACAAATAAATGACAGGTAGCACATTGTATTAAACATTAAATTTTGAGATAAAAAGACTGAAATAATATTTTTACTTGTAAAACGTGCTTCAATAATCTTTGTTTTATTCATTTTGAAAAACTTTTTACAGTGTAGCTACAAACTTACGGTGTGATAAATATTGATCTCATTTGTAAAAGGAAGTTGATACTTAAATGAAGCATAACTGAGAAATAAGTATCATGAGGTATAAAAAAGAATCCTTCCTTTGGCTTTCTCAGAAGATGAACATTATCCTTCATAATCTATGGAATAGTTGACTTTAGGGATAAACTTCACTTCATGGGTATCAGTTTTGCCTTTTGTATAATCATTTTTGCATTTATATAATCATTTCAAACACATTCAATCTGCTGCTTCTGGGATGTTTCTCCTGAGAAAAAGCCCTGGATGTTTTGGAAGAGATCTCAACAATGTCTCAAACTGGCCAAGAATCCAAATTCTGCAGTCAAATGGCAGATATTTGAAACATATCTCATTAAATTCTCCTAAAATCAAATGATCTGCTATCTATATTACTTTTATAGCCACAAACTTTCTGTATGATAATGACTGTTCTCATTTGTTTTTCCATTGGAATTTTAGAAGAAACATCTGAAATGTAGTGAAAATAAATTGAGAATTAAATGAAGTCTATAATGAAGTCATAAGCTATAAAAGAGCAACATCTGAGCATTAAAGTCTTCCTTTGAGTTTTGCATAAGATGAAGATTATCTCCTAAATCAGTTTTTTTTCAGTAACAATTTGCTTTAGGGATAAACTTTACTTCATGAGTTTTGCCTTCCCATATCATCATTTTTGAGATGAGATTTTTATTTTTATTCTGTCACATTGATTTGCTGTATCTGTTGAACCATGCTCTGTGTTTGACCTTGCGTCTGATTAAAATATTAACTGTAGACAACAATAATCTCTGTGAGAGATTATGACGGGAATTCAAAGTTGCCCATAGGTTGGCATAGCTAAACATAGAGCAGTTAGACAGCTGTTAACGCCACTCTGGTGTTTGTGAGATACTAAAAGCTGTTTTGATGTCTCGAGATAAATGCATGCATGCAATGCTTTTATCTGTGCTTAGGTTTTGCTGGCTTTCTCCAGGTGTACTTTGCAGTTATACAACATCCTTCCAGGTCAGAGATTACCGGCTTTATCAGGCCTTGTACTTTCAAAATAGAGTGTCTTGCCACATAGATTTCCATTATAAGTGATCAAATATTCCCTGAATTTGCATTCTTGCTTGTTTTTGTCTCTGTAGCCATGTTACCAAACTCTCTCTGGATGCGGAAAGCATTCGAAGCAATGCCGTTTCTTGGCTGTATTGTGTTTGTGTGGGTGTGTAGATGTATCTTATCTGCTTGTCGATTTGAGCATCATTTCCAGGACCTGCTTTCTGAGAGATATAAAATATAAGATCTTCCATCATGCAGGTATTGTAACATGACTCAGATGCTGGTATTGTGTCAAAAGGGCTTCCTACATTGCTAGCTGTAGAGAGCTCTAGAAGGGTCAGTCTGCGGGTAACACCTGTCCTGTTTACTCTCATGATGGGCTCTGCTGGATTTGGTTCTTGGCTGATGTGGAAACACAGGATTATAGATGCTGCATGTCGGTCGTGATTGGACCGCATTTAGAGCCGCTGTTGATATTGAACGTTGGTGTGAGAGGATTAAGCATCATTTAATATGTGCTCGTGTTATTTTTTTTGCCTATAGAGGATTTTTTTTTTGTCATGGCTTTTATGTGTGATGAAGACTGGGGCAAGTTGTCACACTTTTTCCAGGGTGGGTTTATTTGTCAGTTTTTGTATATGCAAAAACCTTAAAGTATTGATTACAGAAATTATTGATCATTTTCATTTAACGGTGACCAGCAAAAAAAGATATATATAATAATAATTATATATATATATATATATATATATATATATATATGTTATATGGTGAGGCATGTTGTCACATTATATGGGGTATAAGATATTGATGTTGACTTGAGAAGAATACCTTTTTAGAAATATGAAAAAGAAATTAAAAAAATAAACGTGCATTTTGTATGTATTATAGGCTCTTTATAAATGACCTTAGTTTGTCAGTCTTTAGTCTCTAGATGAAAGCGTTGCGCTCTCTGTGATGGTGCGAATAGATCAGGCCCGTGACATGCTCAGAGACATAAACACGCTTTGTTCTCATCACACTTGTGTTTTTGATGTGTGTGTGATGTCATGGACAAAACATTCGCATTCAACCGTCTGTTTACAAAAAATTTTTTGAGTCGTATTTGTTTAAATTATAATTGCATTCTCTTGCATTGTTAGTTATCATAGCATAATGCACGGCATATAGCCCAGTCAGAGAAAATATTCAAATTAAAAATACTAAATCCCAGTACACGTAAAAATAACCCAGTTTTATTATTGCAAAAATGTCAGTTGATAATAATATTTGGATTTCATAATAAAACTGTTTATTGGACTAAGTATAAACTGAACACCAAATTAGGCACTTATATATATATATGTGTGTGCATAACATTCATCAAACATATATATTTCTCATGAAAGTGACCAGTCTGTCCTTCTGGGTTCACCCACGTCAGCTGTATTTCTACTGAGCGTGAGCCAGAGCACCAGCTCCCTGACCAAAGCCAAAGCCCTTCGGTCCAAAGTTTTTAGCATAGCACCCTATATAAATAGAAATAAGTATAAATAATCAAATAAATAATGTTTTTGTAAGTATAATTTTTTTTTTTTTACAAATAATGCTATTATATAACATGATAAAAATGTATTATATATAATAATGATAAATTATATTTTATAATATACGAATATTTTATATATTAAATGTAAATATTCTAAATTTTATGAATATTAAGCATAATATTAAATATAAATAATAAAATAAATAGTGTTATTATAAATATAAATACAGATGAAATAAATAACGGTATTATCAATAGAAATTTTAATATTCTGTTAGAATAGAAATGCTATAAAAAATAGAAATATTAAATTGAAGTAATATTAAAATGTTAGGAATATAAATTATAAAGAGACATTAAATAAATAACATTATTATCAACATAAGTTTAAATATTCTGTTAATATAGAAATATTCATTAGATCAATATTGTAAATAGCATATATACAGTAATATTATAATATTAAAATAAATAATGTTATTCTAAATCTAAATGATATAAATAATCAATACATATTAAATAAACTACATTATTATGAATATAAATGTTCTTTATTTCTGCCTATTTCTGAACAAATTCTGAATATCTTACTACTGAATAAATATACACACCTGTATGCATGATATTTGATACGGACCTTTACAGTAAATCTCTCCGTCTTTATCTGCTAGAGTTGTGGACTCCAGACTCTTTCCACACTTTGCGCATCTGAAGCAGCTCTTATGCCAAGACTGAAGGAGATGAAAAGTGATGGCCCGAAATGTCGTTTGTCACGGTCATTTAGTTGGTTTTATTGTCATGTCATGCTGTTTGGCAGTATATAAAACATCAGACATGTTGGGATTGGCAGTGATTTGGCAGCATCACTTGGCTTTCATATGAGGGCAGGTGAGGACATGGTGTTATTACGTTTGCATTGCATTGCTTGTAGTAGTCGATGATGAGACTATTTTGGCAACCAAGCCAAAACAATCAGTTAAACGAATACATGGTTGGGTTAACCAGTTTGGTAAGGCGATAAGCCCGGGGCAAAGTGAGAGTATCTCCACAAGTCTAGTCAAGAAAAACAAACTCACGTTTCCCCCTCCAACCACCTTCTCTGCCGCGTACACGGTGCTTCCACAGCGAGGCCAAGCGTCCTAACCGCCGAGCTTCTGCGCAAACTTTGACGGGTTAGGGTTGTTGGTTGCACGATGAGATGCTTGTCTGTGCGACAAATGCAAACCGGCTACTTTAATGCACACTGGTAAAGACACAATGCAAAATGAAAACATCCTACTAGCCCGGCCGGTTTGATTCCCAGAGCTTCGCCCGTGTCCATGCTGAGGGTTACCGCTCCCCCACCGAAGCCGTAGCCTTTTGGGCCGTATTTCTTGCCATAGCAGGACTTGCAGTAGATCTCGTCCTGATGCACAGTGACTGTTGTGCTGTCCAGATTCTTTCTGCACACCACTGCAGTCAACATAGGTGCACATGCATAATCAATACACTGTTATGCATTAGACAGTTTGCTTTGTAGATTATAAATAATAAATGCTTGCTTTTTCATATATTACAAACTTCTCATAGAAACATTATAAAATTAGAAATGCAGTTCATGACTCCTGAAAATCAGTAACTGATTCAAACTTACTGGTGATACAGTAAGAGTATACGAGCTATAAAATGGATCTCAGTTTGGTCGTGTCATAAGTAACAGTGAATTTGAGGAGAAATGTTTGAGTCCATATTGAGATATCTGAATTTGGAGGCAAACATTTGTGTCCCTGCTAATCTGAGCACAGTTTGAGACTGTTGAGATCTCGTCTGAAACTCTTTTCTCTGGAGAAGCATCTGGAAAAAAACGGAGGTATTAAAAACACATACACTCTCCCTACTGTTTGGTGACATAATAACTTTGAGCATTTGGTGCATCATCGATGTAAGTGTGTCTGCAAGTGTCATCTACACATAAACATCCATTTGTTCCACAGATCTGCAGTCAGATGCAGATGATGTGCAGCCATAAAAGGCAGATGAATCCACCGGGATGTTTGTTTGTGCAACACCTAATATGGACATGCTGTTAAACAGGAAAGATTTATTTGCTTACAGTCTCATTTCCAAACTCATGCCAGCTTCCTGCTCTAGGACTTTCGTCATTAGGTCAGAAGCACAAACTACTGCTAATGATCCAACGGTTATTACTTGATTTATTACAATAACTAGAACTAAAACTGAAGTCAAAATGTACGAAAACACAATAAATATATTTAAGAAGAGCAAAAATGACAATACAACAAAATTACTAAAACTTTCTCTAAAAAAAAAACAACTAAATATTAATAAAAAACTAGTATCTCAATAATAAAAGAACACTTTGTCAGTCATTCATAAGCACAAACTACTATTAATTATCTGTGTGTACAATTCAGGGTTATTACAGTTAACTAAAACCATACAAAAAAAGAATAAAAATGTTGTTGGAATAAAATAAATAAAAGATACAAAACTTAAACGTATTATTTTTTAACTCGTTTTCATTTTTTAACTTCATGTAGTACAATAAGAACAAATTAACAAAAATGACTGAACTTTCTGAAAACGTTGTGTAAAATTGAAAATAAATAGCCTATGAAAAATGTAAAAATAAAAACTAATTCAAAATAATAATTACAACTATAATACTAGAAATATACTGGTACAGTTAAGCAAGCAATTAAATAAATGTAATAAATAAAAAAAATAAAAAAATCATAAATGAGATCCACTGGCAGTATTTGTGGAGATTTGTGCCCAAAGAAGAACAGACTATATAACAAAATAAGAATTTCCTCTGGGCTGGCATCATGCTATCACATTTACAGCTGACAGTTTTGTCCAAAAACAATATATTATATTTTCCATGCTATATATGACCATCTGCATGAATAATTTTCCATTATCCGGGTAACACCCTCTCTCTGCAGGACTAACCCTCACCACCCATTTCCATAAGGAGAATCTCACGGTCTAAATAAAAAATCATAAATGAGATCCACTGGCAGTATTTGTGGAGATTTGTGCCCAAAGAAGAACAAACTATATAACAAAATAAGAATTTCCTCTGGGCTGGCATCATGCTATCACATTTACAGCTGACAGTTTTGTCCAAAAACAATATATTATATTTTCCATGCTATATATGACCATCTGCATGAATAATTTTCCATTATCCGGGTAACACCCTCTCTCTGCAGGACTAACCCTCACCACCCATTTCCATAAGGAGAATCTCACGGTCACATGCACATCCTTTCTGCTTAAAATACCCCATTAGAGCACTGAAGGTGTTAGGTGAACATGTGTGTATCCATATGTGTCTGTCTCTAATTTTTCTAATTTCCCCGCTTGAGCTTGAACATCTGCTCCCATCTCTCACATTAGTTCACATATTGTGATGTGAATACAGAGCATGAGCTGTGTCACCTGTGTGCATGTGTGTGTGTGTGTGTGTGACTTACTGCACAGGGAGCAGGACTTGTGGAAGCTTTGTCCTTCACACTGAACCTCCTCTGCGAAATACATCGTCTTCTTACAGCAGCCACACTTGTTTCCTCCTCCCAGCGGCATCCTGACAGTATCAATGCATGCAGACTTTAAAACATGTGCAAATTGCTTCACAAATGCATCAGGCTTTATTGCATTTGCATATCATTTTTGCAATTTCTGTTTATGCGTTTTCACAGTTTCAATTCAATTCTTTTTATATGAAGATACATTTTGACTGGATAAAAGATCATTTGTCATTGCCATTGTTTTGAAAGTACAATCAAATGGTTGCATGCTGGTTTTTGTAAGTCATGGAAGAATATGCACATAATTATGGATTATTTATGTTACTTTGTAATACTTTACAATAGGGTTTCATTGGTTAACATTAGCTAACATGAACTAACAATTAAAACAGTTATTAATGTCAATTTCAACATTCACAAATATGTTTTTTTTATGTTTTGTATCTGGAAACTTTAATTAATGCACTGTGAGCTAACATGAACAAATAACAAAGAATAGTATTTTTATTAACCAACATAAACTAAGATAGAGAGCATGTATTGCTAATTGATAGTTTATTTTAGCTAATGTATTAAGTAACATTAACAAATGGGAGCTTGTTGTAAAGTGTTATATACTCTATACAGACTATGCATCTGATATCAAACCTGGATAAAGGTTTAAGACACGGGAGTTCTGTCTTTCCCACTGTTACAAAAACATTATTTTATGGAGAGTAATAGTAAAGCTCTTACCTGCAGTGATAGTTAGTCACTAGAAGAGAGAGTCTGGAGTGTTCAGCAGAGTCCTCAGATGAGTCCAGAGAGGATGAGAGACTGATGAAGAGATGAGGAGCTGGAGGGAAAACAGATGCAGATGCAAAACACGAAAGAGAGAGAGAGAGAGAGAGAGAGAGAGAGAGAGAGAGAGAGACATATCTAACCTATCTGGCTCTTCTCAAATCACTATTTGACAGTGATTTATGTCTATTATATTATATATTGTTAGGTAGCCATTGCAAGTTGATGATTTTTACTACTATACTTCTATCTATCTGGCATCAATTTACTATGGCCAACTAACAATTAGTAGTCAATGCACATCTCTTCTTAAATCTTTAACAGTTGATTTACCAAACAAACTAGAATCCCCATGAATCAGTTTGTATTTACCATACAGTTTATGTCTATTATTTTCAGAACTGTAATGCTTTCAGGAAGACATGCAGTGTTGTATTGACCCGTGAAAAGCTTGCACGTGTGTTTGTTAGGAGGACTGGAGTCCCTCACCCTCCTCATTCCAACACAATGATACGCAGCTGGACCTGCTGGAGCCCAAAACTCGTCAGGAAATGAGAAGCGGAAGAAAGTCAGCTAGTTAGTTAGCTGGTTAAGAAATAAAGCATATTAGTTAGTTGGTTGGTTAGTTAGTTAGGGAATCAATCATTGTTGTGACCATTGTTGCTTTTGGGAAACGCACCACCAATTAGTTCAGAAACAAAGTTACTTAGGAACTAAAGCAGAGTAGTTAGTAAAGAAATAAAGAGTCATATCTAACCTATCTGGCTCTTCTCAAATCACTATTTGACAGTGATTTATGTCTATTATATTATATATTGTTAGGTAGCCATTGCAAGTTGATGATTTTTACTACTATACTTCTATCTATCTGGCATCAATTTACTATGGCCAACTAACAATTAGTAGTCAATGCACATCTCTTCTTAAATCTTTAACAGTTGATTTACCAAACAAACTAGAATCCCCATGAATCAGTTTGTATTTACCATACAGTTTATGTCTATTATTTTCAGAACTGTAATGCTTTCAGGAAGACATGCAGTGTTGTATTGACCCGTGAAAAGCTTGCACGTGTGTTTGTTAGGAGGACTGGAGTCCCTCACCCTCCTCATTCCAACACAATGATACGCAGCTGGACCTGCTGGAGCCCAAAACTCGTCAGGAAATGAGAAGCGGAAGAAAGTCAGCTAGTTAGTTAGCTGGTTAAGAAATAAAGCATATTAGTTAGTTGGTTGGTTAGTTAGTTAGGGAATCAATCATTGTTGTGACCATTGTTGCTTTTGGGAAACGCACCACCAATTAGTTCAGAAACAAAGTTACTTAGGAACTAAAGCAGAGTAGTTAGTAAAGAAATAAAGCCAGTAAGTTAGTATTTAGTTAGTTGATAGTGTCGCGGGGTGAATGAGAGCACAGACTCGGTACTGGTCGAAAGAGCCCCGGAGGGTGATTTATTTGCCCACACACTGATCACACGTGCCCTTGATGACTGGTGCTCGGTGCCCGTCTCACACTGGTGCTCGTGGGGTGAAGTGCCGTGGTGCAGATCCCTCTCCCTGGGTGCCTTCAGATTCTGTGAAATAAGGAGAACAATCGTTAATGCCGCCTGGAGCTCTGGGGTGCTCTCCCGCTGGTGTCTCTTCTCCTGGCTTTTAAGGCCAGCGGGAACGAGCTCCAGGTGCGCCACTCATCGCGCACAGGTGTTGTGCGTCGGTGATCAGTGTGGCAGCGGCGTTTCCAGGGCGACGCTAATCTGGACTCGGGATACTCGCCACATCCCCCCCCCCTAGGCATCGCCCTGGTTCTGTGGGGAAATACACAACTCGTTGTGGGGGTATTCCAGGGGGGGGATTTCTGGTTACCTGCCAGACCTGCCCAACCGGACCAGCCCCGGGAGAGACCGTCCGCATTCCCGTGATCGGCCCCGGCCCGATGTTGTACTTGGAAGCAGAAGTCCTGGAGTGCGAGGAACCACCGTGTCACCCGGGCGTTTGTGTCCTTCGCCCGGGACATCCACTGCAGGGGCGCATGGTC